GCTGGACAGCATTAGTGGTCACTACTGCTGCCACTGGGCGAGGCTGGCCTCTCTGATGCTGACCACAAAGCTAACGACAATTGAGAGACAACGAGGCACCCACTACTCCTTTCCTCTCTTCGTGTTCTGGGCTCTAATGTTGGTTTCTGATTCACTGTCCTTCATCCAAGATGTCAGCTCCGAACTTTATCTCCGTGACCCCTTCACCTTTGTACTGTGTGCTTGCTGCGTTATCGGAGCTCTGATCCACTTTGTAATCTCTTCTCTGCCCGACTCAAGAGTTCCAGCACCGGATGCCCACCCAGAAGAACTGACTTCTCTTCCCGGGAAACTCACTCTGAACTGGATCACTGGCATAGTCTGGCGTGGTTATAGAAACGGTCTAAAAGAAGAAGATGTGCCTCACTTGGCTGCACGAGACAGATGTCAGACTCTATCTCCGGCTTTTGAAAAGATTTGGGACAAAGAGGTGGCTGTTCTCCAATCGCGTGAAGGTACAAAGAACAAGCAGACTGATTCATTGAGGGAAGGAAAGTGTCAGAAAGAAGTACAACCCCCAAAGGTAAATCTTCTAAAGGTTCTGCTAAAACGATTTGGTGCTGAATATTTGACATATCAATCCATCAAACTGTTCTTCGAACTTACCATGTTTGTGGAGCCACTGTTGATGGGTTGTTTCCTGACACATTTTCAGCACAGAGACACGGAACCATCCTGGAAAGGCTACGCCATTGTGATGGGCTTGTTTGCCTCAACGCTTATCACCAACACAGGACACAATCGAGTGTGGACGTCAGTTGACAGACTGTCTAAGAACATCAAGAGTTCTCTCAAAATGGCGGTGTACAAGAAAGCGTTAAGTGCTAGAAACGAGGGCAAGCGAGACATTACCACCGGCGAGATCGTAACCCTGGTCGCAGACGACTGTGAAAAGTTGGTGAACGCCAGCAACATCGTCTTTCTCATTTTGGCTACCCCTGTTCAAGTGAGTGTGGCTCTGTACATGCTCTATCAACAATTGGGAACGGGAGCTTTCGTCGGTTTAGCCATCATGTTGTCACTTATTCCCCTCAACGCTTGGGTAGGCAAAAAGCTGAAGAAATTTGAAAAGGAAAAGAGTGACATTAAAGACAAAAGGATCAAAATCATGAATGAAGTTCTGAACGGCATAAAGGTACTGAAACTGTACGCGTGGGAGAAGTCGTTTCTTAAGAAAGTGATGTACTCCCGGGATCAAGAAGTGAGCTTGCATAAGAAGATGTGCCTAATCCATGCTGGTATTGACTTTATGTTCTGTACCATCCCCTTCATGGTGCGTGTTGGTGGCTTCATGACCTTTGTCTGCCTTGGAGGCTACCTCGATCCTTCCACAGCTTTTGTGACCACGTCTTTGTTTGCAATCTTAAACAAACCTTTCAGCATCATGGCCATCATTATACCAGAGTTTGTTCAAGCATCTGATGCTCTGGCAAAACTGAACAAGTTTCTGAACCTTGAAGACATTCCAGAAGATATTGTCAAGAAAACCAGTGTCTGTGAAGAGTCAATTACGATCAAAGATGGTGTATTCACCTGGGACAGATCTAGCTCAAAGAACTGCATTGAGAACATAAACGTGAGCATTCCAACAGGCCAGCTTGTCGCCATCGTAGGAATGGTAGGATCAGGAAAATCTTCACTTCTTTCAGCTATGCTTGGAGAAATGGAAAAAGTGGAGGGAGACGTTATTGTGACTGACTCAACCGCCTACGTTCCCCAAGAGGCTTGGATTCTAAATACATCTTTGAAAGAGAACGTTGTATTTGGAACCGGCTATAACACTGAAAAGTATAACAAGGTAGTGGACGCATGTGCTTTGAGAGATGACTTCAAACTGATGTCTTCGGGCGATAAAACCTTAATAGGAGAAAAGGGCATCAACTTGTCCGGGGGACAGAAGCAGCGTGTGTCTCTAGCCCGGGCTGTGTACGCCGACACGGGAATCTACCTCTTGGATGACCCACTGAGCGCGGTGGACGCTCACGTCGGAAAACATATCTTTGATCAAGTGATCGGGCCTAGAGGGATGCTGAAAGGCAAGACTCGTGTGCTGGTAACCCATGGTGTGCACTGGTTGCCCTACGTTGACTCCATTCTCGTTATGAAAGATGGGCAGATCCAAGAGTCGGGAACCTACAAACAGTTGCTGGAACAAAATGGTGTTTTCTCACAGTTTGTGCAACAAGTAACGATGACTGGGAGGAACGAATGTGAGAGCAACAGATCAACGTCTGATGTAGGAGAGACAGTGTCTGATCAAGACGACAAATCCTCTAAAAATACTGAAGAAATTCCAAAGACCGAAGAAGTTGAACCGTGCAGTAATAAGATGGAGGACGAGGTTAAGGACACAGAAGAAGAGATTGTCGAGGACGATGAAGAAGAAACACAAGTTGGTACGTTAGGAATGAAAGTGTACATGGACTATTTGAAAGCATTTGGGTTTAAATACTGCGTTATGTGCATTGTTATGTTTGGACTACACACATACTTTAATGAAAGCAAAGATCATTTGATGGCGAAGTGGTCTGATGACGATCTCCTTTCAAACCGACTCCTCGCGGAAACTCAAGAATACACAGACAGATCCTGGAATTATCTTTCTTCGTTTACCATGTACGGTGTTGCTGAGGTCCTTCTTTCGTTTGGGTTCATCAGCTTGGTGCTATGCCGAGGTTGTGAGGCTGCCCAACATCACCACAACAAGCTACTTCTCAACATTCTACGATCTCCTATGTCATTCTTCGACCTCACACCCACCGGGAGGATCATCAACCGGTTCTCCAAGGACATCGGCTCTGTGGACGGGCTAGGAGGCTGCCTGCGCGGCTACATTGCCTCTGTGGGCTGGTTATCGGTTTGCTTTTGCATGGTTTTATACACAACCCCAGGTATTATCCCCTACATGGTCCCAGTAACCGTTGTGTATCTCGCAATGCAGCGTGTCTTCATCGCCAACTTGCGCCAACTTCGCAGATACAGACAAAAGTCACGATCTCCAGTGTTTGTTCACCTGAACGAAACCCTCAATGGAACTGACTCCGTGAGGGCGTACAGCGTGGAGGAGCGGTTTATCAACAAGATGGAGGACAAACTAGAGAACCTGATGAAGTTTGAAATGTCAGAGCACTGGTTCCATGCCTGGTTCGATATGCGCATGACCGTCCTGTGTTCCGCAGTCACCCTCATTTCTGGTCTGCTGTTGTTATGGGATACCAG